GGGCAAACAACTCAAAACGGTACGCAATAGACCTCTGAAGCTTTTACGTCATGTATCGCAATGCATTGTAGGATACGTTTATAGTACAAGGCGGATTTCTTTTGCTTTCTCTCGAAACTGATCCCACAATGCATTTGTGACCAAGTAAACACACAGAACTTAGGTTTAACTTCAACTTCGACTTCACTTCATTTTCTTCTTCGTATTAACTTGCCGTGCCACGTGCCGTGCCGTGCCACGGCGAAAACTACGATAAGTAATTAATGGAAACTATTAATTATTATCCTCTGTTGTTTACAAATGCTTAGGATCTACGATGGACTCTTACAAAACTAGCACAAACTTCAAGGTTGATATCTGACCAACCTAAAACAGTAGTTTTACAGTACTGAAAACTACTTAGTGTTTCCTGCTAAACACTACCGCTAATACTATTACTATCAAATCCTAGCTTGATTACTATGAGAGTAATAACACTACCGCTAATACTATTACTATCAAATCCTAGCTTGATTACTATGAGAGTAATAACTTGCAAAACAACAACAACTGGCTAGATAACTGCTGCATTAAGCAAACCGGCAAATCTACAGTTTTACCTTTCTTTATGTTGTATTGTTCTTGCGAACATACTGATTGTGACTATCTTACGTAACACTATACGTACGGAATACTTTTATCTTGAATATGAAGCAAAGAACTTGAAAATGAGTGATGCTGATTGTACTTCTACAAAAAAACTCACCTGAAAAAAACTGAACTTGAAACTCARCAACTGTTGAAATCGTCATAAAGATTTGATTTTTAAAACGAAAGTTTAGCTCGTGCTAAAACTAACGGCGGTTGAGCGCGCTCAAGAAAACTAACTAAGAAAATGGAAGCGAAACTTTATCTAAAGTTCAACTTGCCACACATTGAAAATCAAGTAGTGACTTTTAAAATGGCCCAGACGTCTATTTGCAAAATACATTTGCATGTATAGATAAAGATAAAATGGCAAATGTCAATTGTCGGGCGATTGCATGACCGAAAGTAGACATGGGTTTTGCTAACTGACGAGAAATGACAACTGATTTATACTGTGATACAGTCTGTGGTAAACGTTGACTCCATTTAGTCTCCATTTTCTATGTAAGGTGAATCCAATAAGTGAAATTTTGTTATTCAAAACAGTCTTACCATAGTAATTTGGTCTGATGGAATCGCCCTTTGACAATTGCCATTCGCCGTTCGCCCCGTTCCTCCCGACAACGCTTTTTGAAATACGTGTGTATTAATAMTACTAAACTTCCAGTGCATTAAATCTGCAACCGTCAACGGGCCGAGTCTCGTTTTGATGAAAAGGCACAGCTACCTTTCAAGATGTCGAAAGGGACCTTGAAGGAGATTGTTGAAAAGAGCTACTGTATCAATAATATCAAACAAATAGAAATGGAAAAATGATCTCAAAAATGTGTCTCAAAAGAAAATCTCGATGTCTTTTATCACATAAGATGGAGATCCACAAGATGTATGTGTTGATATCCCAGCCAAAGGGAAACTTGGATCACGTCGAAGAKTRACCGTAGCATATTTCACTGGAATATGAACATTTTTAGGATGCCAAAAGTTATTATTTTCATTGTTACATATTGCAGTATTTCCATTAAAACTGTGACCTGTGAAGTAAAAGAAAGGGTTTTGTTATTTAGAATTATAAGGTCTAGTCATCTACTGTTCTATTCCATATCAAACAATTGCCTCAGAGAAACATTCATTCGTTTGCCAAACTTTTGCTGACTATATATGGTAATCTTAATCTTTTTCCACCTTTTAGCTCTTTAAAATGGCTAAAACTTACAGAATTTGCAGAGAAATCGCTTTTCAACATGTCGGCCATTGTAATTTTGTCCTAGTCCCCTCCCATCCTTGAAAATAAGGAATCTCACAAAAGACACAGGTAGCCCGCGCGAATGTTAGGCAATTGTTTGATATGCTGACATTAATATATTTGCTAATAATAGACTGATTTATTTTTACCCTGACCAAAGACCGAAACTGATCATCACTGAGTCCTTTTTCCTTCTTTATTAAAATCATCACTGCCGACATGTGTTTAGGTTTTAACGCTAGTTCAAATAGAGAGTTTAAGCCAGTGCAGGATCCAGGGGAGTTTCATGGRTTCCTAGGAACCCCCCTCAAGCGTAAAAACAATATAAAATAAAGTAAATGATAAATGAAATATAACGAAAACGCATCGTACAATGAATTTTTATTGAAAACATTCAGACACGCTTCATTTGCTACAGTTCGAGAGGCACATTAAAAAAAGTTCGTTTAAGGAAAATAAGAAAACAAAATGGAACCCCCCTTTGAAAAATCCTGGATCCGCCACTGTAAGCACAACGTTTACGGCTAACGGCTAACGGCAGAACTAAACCAGTGACCTACCTACAAATTTCGTGCCTGACCTTGTGCATTTGATAATCGTTTGAAAGAGCGACTTTTCACGATTATGGCAACCCCAAAATATTCCAGTATCGCGTTGAAACTGTACGGTAAAACCCTAAAAAGCAGGTCACGTGATCTTTTCTGCCGTTTGCCGTGAACGTCATGCCTAAGCTTTCTAATGTTATATTTATACTTGCCTCGTTGTCCTTCCATGTGTTGCTCATTGGTAATCTTGTCTTTTGATTTGTCGTATGAAAGCAAGCCATTTTCAAACACTTTCACGTTGCCAAAGCTCCTGTCACTGTGTAGCACAATATGCACGTGAATATTTTACATAGACAATGTGCAGCGACGTCATTTTGTGCAGCAAAGCATGATGGTAGTTGTAGTTCTCGCACTATTTAATGTCACTTCCTCAGTCTTCCTAAGCTGCCGTTTTTGCTTGTAGTTGTACAGTTGCTACTAAGAAATTGTAAACACGGCTCTTGGAAAGATATTTTAGTGTCTCTAGGAAGTACGAGAGCTGCAACTACCATCATGCTTTCCTATTCAAAATGGCGTCGCTGCACATTGCCTAATTCTTTGTTTTCACCATACGTCACAGCGGCCATCTTGGATGAACTTCAACAAAGGATTTCTAATTAGTATCTATTGTTCATTCAACCAACATGGCCGCCGGTCTTTTATCTTTTGAATCTCATGGGAATGATTGAAAACGATCAATACCACAATATTGCCATTGAACGTTGTCAAAAAATGACCACGCAAGACATATTCTTCCTTTCCACGTTCAAAAGTTTTTGTTTTTCTATGACAATGATTCTGCAGTTATAGATGGATAAAATATAGCAAAGAAAATACTTCTCTCAAAGAGATTATATGACCGAAAGGGACTGCGGTTAAACTGCTTGACATACAAAGTCTCAAGGGCMATTTTYACGACATCGTTTTTTCAGTTGCTGTGTTYAATTTGCGTGGAAGCAGAAACCCAAAAATGACAATGTTAGCCACAGATTATATATTTTATAATTTCCATCAATAAGCCTTTTGCAGTTCAGTGCGAGCGACCGCTGTTTTAGTAGACAACAGACTCATATGCGTACAGGACAAAAGAAAGCATGAAATAATGTTGCCATTACAATAGCTCTAGAAATTTGAATCTTCTCCGATTCGAGGCTTACCCTGAGCAAGATGTTGAACCTTCTGGGAATACACGCTTATTAGCGCTATTGTAATGACAACATTTTTTCGTGCTTTCTTTTGTTTTTGGTCAGGTCTCTGCGTATGAGAGACTGTTGTCAACTAAATCAGCGGTTGTTCGCTTTGAACTGGAAAAAGGCGTAATAGCAAAACCCATGCCTCCTTTCTGTTGTGCAATCTCCATTARATATCTATTCACAATTTTATCCGAAAACCTTTTTTGAAAAAAAAAAATGTTTTCGTAGCTCGTCAACCCTATGAATAATTGAATCAATGTGAAGCCAAATTACCTCCAAGCCCCKTCATTTGCACCAAAGATTTTCCAACATGCGGCGGTCCCTCTAAATTCCTGAGTATATCTAATCTTAATCCAGTAACCCTTTATGTAGACGACGGACACTGATCCCACTTTTCCACAGCCATAATTGACAGCATTTACTGTGACGACAAGACTTCCAATCGATTC